TTTGAATCGAATAACCAGTCCGGCGGCAAAAGAGTAAAGTCTAAAAGAAATTCTTCATACGCTCGGTCGAAATCGGACCCTCTACCGCATGATATTCCTCGAGGACGAAGCCTGCACCGACACATGCTACCTAGTCTTAGGCTGTACACATGTGCCCGGCCGGATCGACTTGACGTAGCAATGCCTCATTAGTTTAGCAAAAAATTACAAGTTGGCACAGTGGCACGTACGGGCTAGGTCCTAGGGTTGGCACAGTTGCACTTGGTCACGATTCTGTAGTACCAGGAACGTTTCTGTAGCAACTGGACGGATGGATGCCACCGGCTGAATTCACGTATGTGATCGAGGATGACAAGATATGACCCTTCATGGACCTTCTTGTCCATTGAGGTTAATTACACGTGCGTTCTTCTTCTGCTGTACGCGCATCACATAATTGACACCGGGCATGGCATGCTCATCGTTGAAACATCGGCATGGACGTTCCGACATGTCGACGTCGTTCATCTCGTGCATGCATGCAGCGTGTAAATTAATTAGTGTCTGTCTTCAAGTACGTACGACACCACATGCAGACCCTGGTGTGTCCTCGTGCTTCGTTTCGTCGACTGGTCACGTCGCGGCTGGCACGTACGGGAGTGGCTACCGAAGGCTCCATGGAGGGTTTTAATTTTCTCCCTCCCTCAGCTTGAAAAACGATCTTACAACGGAGGGAGTACATTTTAGTTTTATGCTTCCCTGCGACGACCGAGTCATCCATCTATTCTCGTCAACAGTCAATGTCGTTCCGGCAGAACAAAATATAGTCAATGTAGTTGGCTCTCTGGGCATCTTGAAGCATGATTCAACCATTGTCTAAAAAAGCTTGGTCAATGTGGTATCTCGGGATCAGCACGCATGACGGTGCATGTGAAAACGTATTAATGGGCTCTTAGAATTTTGATTACAAAAATGAACTGCCAAAAATACAATTACATGTGCTTTTTTTTTTGCGAAAAGGATATCAGTGAAAAGTATTCCCTCCATTTCAAGATACATTGCATATTAGTACCAGTTCCTTCCTACTTTTTCAAACCTATGCGTTAGAGAGAAAAATACTTACTCAAACTTTACAAAATTTGACTTACGATAAAACTAAAATATGGTGTATTGTGAAATGCAGAGAGTACATAGGGTTGCAATAATAATTTGGCTACACACATTACTCTAGTGTGGACAGTGATAAACTATTTTACTTCGCAAAAAAAGTGATAAACTATTTCAACTTATTTAAAAAAACATGGTACTTATGATCATGAAATGAACTGCAATTTCTATCGGAACAATCAATACATTGTGCAAGGGTACATAAGCAACCCAAGGTGAGGACTGGATCCATAGTAGAATGCCATTTCATACTAATAACTGAAAGTCTACAATATAGATTAATTCTGCTATTTTTTCAAATAAAGGAAGCCATTAAATGACCGTCTAGGCGTGACTCGGAGTTCAAGTTCATCTTAGATCTTGCTGAGATTGTTTAAATGTCGGCTATCCAAGTTTAACCCTAGCCCCGGCTTACTTCTCTGCATCCTCAGGGTTTTATCACCCCGAGAGCCCCCCATATTACCAACCCCTTGCTCAATGGCTTTCGATATTCTCTCACAATCCCTCTTCCGCACCATCTTCTCCTGCCGCTACCACATATCCTTGCCCATCATAATGTTGTTGCCACCTCTTCTCGCTATATAAACAAAAAAAATGATGAAGATAAGCTAGCAATCCAGAGACGATAAAAAGAAGAAGCAAGATGCACTATTGTGAAGCAAGGATACAAGCCGATGGAGCCCAAGCATTTTGGTGCAATGGTAACGGGTAGAGGAGGGTTGTGAGAAGCATTTTCCCCCCACAAAATTGCATTTGTCGTTTTCCGGTTAAAACTGAGGAAAAGACGAAGAGTCTAAATCAGTAAAGCCAGCTTGTTTAGGAAAGTAACAACCGTCTCTAAGAATGAAGATACGTTGCAACTACACCTACCCTCTCGGTTAGTGTACAAGTTTTCTTTTGAAAACCCAGTCGTGAGGTTGATCGGCCAGGAAATACCCCTCATCTTCTTTCTTTCGATCCATACCATTTATCGCTCGGACGTATTTAGACATATTTCAATACTGGATACATCTATTTGAGTGATAAATGATATAGATTGGAGGTGGTAATACTTTCTAATTTGGACGTACTTGTGACCTGTAGGCTGTAGGCTGTAGTTTGTGTGCCGTGCTATGGTTTTTCTTAAGAGTTATAGTGGAGCTCTTCTCTTTCTCTTTTCTTTTTTGAGATCGAGTGGAGCTCTTCTCCATCCTCCATATATACCCAGCGTCCATCTCGTCCTCCCCACACGAACTCTCGCATAAGCCAAGAAACGTTCTCCCCGGAGCTCGCTGGTTACCAACACGCCCGTAGCCATGGTGCACGCCGACGAAACCACACACATCCTCCTCGTACCGTACCCGGCCCAGGGCCACCTCAACCCGATCCTCCAGTTCGGCAAGCGGCTCGCCGGCCACGGCGGCGTCCGGTGCACCGTCGCGGCGACCCGGTTCGTCGTCGGCTCCACCAAGCCGTCCCCGGGCTCGGTGCACATCGCCGTATTCTCCGACGGCTGCGACACCGGGGGGGCCGCTGAGCTGGGCGGGCACAAGGGCCCCTACTTCGAGCAGCTGGAGGCGGCCGGGTCCGAGGCGCTGGACGAGCTCCTCCGGTCCGAGGCGGCGAGTGGCCGCCCAGTGCGCGTGGTGGTGTACGACACGTTCATGCCGTGGGTGGCGCCCCTGGCGCGGCGGCACGGGGCGGCGTGCGCGGCGGTGCTCACCCAGACGTGCGCCGTGGACATCGTGTACACGCACGCGCGGGCCGGGCGCGTGCCGGTGCCGGTGCGCAAGGGGGACTCCCCACTCGACCTCCCTGGGCTGTCGTCCCGGCTCGGCGCCGGCGACGTGCCGACGTTCCTGACCGATAGCGACGCGCACCACCCGTCCCTCCGCGATCTGCTGATGAACCAGTTCACCGGGCTCGACGCCGTGGATCACGTGTTCGTCAATTCTTTCTTCGACTTGGAGCCTCAGGTGAGCGCCACACGAATCCGCCCTTGGCATCATATGCCGCGTGTATCTCAAGCAGAGCGTACGTGCGCTCAATCCTCAATGCCAGGGCGGGCGTCGCATGCAGCAATGCAGCATACGTGCAAGCACGTCGCTCGCCACGTGCAATCAATTGACGTTTACTGCCATTAATCGATTCCGAGCATTTGCACTGACGACACCGGCCACGTCCGTGTGCTTACGTACGTGCAGGAAGCGGAGTACCTGGCGTCGACGCTGGGGGCCAGGACGATCGGGCCGACGGTGCCGTCGGCGTACCTGGACAACCGCCTGGCCGACGACGCGTCCTACGGCTTCCACCTGCACACCCCGATGACGGCCGTGACCAAGGCGTGGCTGGACGCGCGCCCGCCGCGCTCCGTCGTGTACGCCTCCTTCGGCAGCATCGTGGCGCCGGGGCCGGACCAGATGGCCGAGGTGGCCGACGGCCTCCGCAACGCCGGCAGCCCATTCCTGTGGGTGGTCCGCGCCACGGAGACGGCCAAATTGATTTGAACCTGTTCATGTCAATCTTTAATACTTAGAAAAATTCCATGAACATCTTCTTATGATTCTCGTAAACCGCCATCATGTCTTCTTCCTGTCAACCTTGGTAAACAGCCGTGACGTCATCCTCTGAACGCAGCAGTGAATCGTCATGACGTCATCAGTGTATAAAAAGATAATAAAGATTCCCTTCATTAATTATTTCCCGAAAATCGAGGCGACAGTTGTGCCCTCTTTTACCGCTTCAGGCTCCTCGATTCTCGCGCCTGCCACTTATCCCCTTCTCTTTATAAATAAGGCCGGGGGGTCTTTCCATTTTCCCCCTTGCCTCTCGCCTTCCTCCCCGCGACCCGAAGAGCTCAAGCACCGCCGCCACCGTCGACCCTCGAATCTGCACCGACTAGGCTGCTGCATCACCCTGTTCGTACCAGATCCTGCGACACTCCTCCGCCGCTGCGTGGCCCTGGTAAGTACTCCCTTCCTCAACTTTATCAAATCTGCATTAGGGTTTCCTGTTCATCTATGTTCGTCAACGTTCATCAGTGCTTCTCCGCTTTTCCCCTTGGCCTCTTACTGCATCTTAGCTAAGCCTGATAGTTTCCTTCTGCGGTAGATCCATAGCTTTAGTTTGCCGTTGTACAACATCATGTTGTTCCTGGATAAATCCCCTCTAGACCTTCTTTGTTCTGCTTAGCGCCATTGTAGGGCTCAGGAAAAAAATTCTTTACTGAACCATGGTAGATCCAAAATTATATCACCATTTTGTGAAACCTGTTTCTGTAACACTTAGTAGATTTCAGATCCGCCTCTTCTGTTTAAAGGCGGTTTAACCTTTAGTAGTTGATAATCCGCCAGATACCATTAGCCCTCTCTTAAACCGCCATCTTGATTTTGAGTAGCAGTATCCGGTTTAACCTTCATATTTGCCCTGATTAAATTTCCCGGTTTAACACCGGTTAGTGCACATCAACCTTGAAACTTAAACCGGCCTTCACACTTCTTTTACAGTTTGTCTTCCAAAATGACCAAGCAATTCTCCGCTTGCAACTGGGTTCCTTCCCGGATCACAGAAACTCAACTCAACGGATATGTTCTAACTAGTGCTTTGACCAAGAAAAGTGTCCTTCATTGGCGAGTCCCTGGCCCTGAATGCCCTCCTGAACCTCAAGATGGAGAAGTGATCGTGTTCATGCAACATCTAGACCGGGGTTTTAGCCCTCCCGAATCAAAGTTTTTCCAGGATGTACTTGCTAGCTTCCAACTCCATCCTCAGGATATTGGACCAAACTCTGTGTCCAACATATGTAATTTTCATGTGTTCTGTGAAGTTTACCTTCAAGAAGAACCAACTGTTGAGCTCTTCAGGGATTTCTTCCACTTAAATCGCCGAACTGAATTCTCTGACGGCCCCAATACTGAACTTGGTGACGTATCGATTCAGAAGAGGAAAGAAGTCGATTTTCCTCACGCCAAACATCACAACCATCCAAAAGACTGGAATCAAACCTGGTTCTACTGTCAGAACACCGCTCCTGCTGACGAAAACCCTCTGCCGGGTTACCATGCTCACCGGCTCAGCGACGGCCATCCACTGCCACCGCGGCTCACTGCCAGAGAGCGACAAGCTTATGCTCCTCAACTTGCTAAGCTCCGGGCTTTCCTAGCAAACGGCTTAACCAACATTGACCTCGTTCATTGCTGGGTTTCTTGGGGTATCCTACCTTTAAGCCGCCGCCCCGGGTTGATGCATGAGTATACTGGCAACATCAAGGACCCTCAACGGTATCATGAAATAGAAATGACTGATGATGAAGTAACTGAATCCGTCAAGAAGATGCTGGATGAACCGATCGCCGAATGCAGCAAAACTGGGCTGCGTCCTTTTTATGCCTCCAATAAACCGCCAGCGATAAAGATTTTAACTTTGTGCTTTTTGATCCGCCTCCGCTTTAACACTGTTCTAATAATCCTTTGTTTAATTTTACAGGCCAATAAGTCAGCGAGGGCTCAAGATAAATCGGCGAGGGCTCCTCGTGCCAAAAGCAAAGTCACAAAGAGAGCAGCCAAGAAGAAAACCACCAAGTCTTCTGATCCGCCCGAAGATGTCGATGAATCGGAACAAGAGGTAGAACTTGACTCCCTTGGCTCATTTTTCGTACACCTTATTGACAATGACTATTACCAGGATGATGCGGAAGCCAGTCGTGCTGACCATGTTGAGGTAATATCCCATTCCTCCGATTTAGATCCTGTGTCGGTTCAGAAATTTTGCCGTGCGGTTCGGAAAGTAAAATACTCTCACCCTCTTGCTCATTTGGATCCAAAATTTTCTTTGAAGACACAACAACCTGAAGGCCGTCGCACAACCCGACACAGTGGCCAGCAAGTAACCTCTTCCAGTTTACCAGACACTCCAAACCGGAAACATCGTCCAGAGGTTTGTTGCTCTTTTAATAAACCTTATCCCTTGGCGGGTTACTTCCGATACCCACTTAATCCGTCTGATTCAAATTATCAGGTGACTTCCAATTCTTCATCTGGCGGCTCATCAACCACCCAGATGCCTCCCCTCAAAACTGTCCCTGGGTAAGTGTATTACCCTTCAACTTTTTCCTTCGTGCGTCGGTTTATCATACTAACCTTTGTTTAATATTGTAGCACCAAAGCTCGTTTGAGCAAGAAAGCCAAAACCAGTACCCCCACTGATGAAGCTGAAACGGAGAGGGCCCCAGAAGGCACTGGTAGAGATACTGTCGATATTGTCATGGATGATTCTGCCCCACAGGGTCAAAATACTGATGCTGATCCGCCGGAAGCTAACCCGGCTAGTCCTCGTGCTGATCCTCCTAGCCCGGCCAGGGATGAAGACCTGCCAAGCCCAGCTAAGGATTCTATCAATCCGTCAAGCCCAGTCAGGGACACTGTCAATCCGCCAAGCCCGACCAGGGATACTGTCAGTCCGCCAAGCCCGTCAAAAGGTGGCGATGATGATGTTATTATTACTGGTACTAGTCACATCGACCCTGGTAATCCGGTTGCCCTATCAAACCATACCGCCAAGGAAGAATTTGTTGCAATGGGCAAGGGGAAAGAGAAGACAGATTGATCCAGTTATGTGAACTTTACTGCCCAAGAGCTCCATTCTGGATTCCTAAACCGCCTATACACAAGCCGAGATTATGAGGCCGGTTTAGTGAATATGATGAAGGAGCGCTATGAGGTAATCTTCAAAAACACTTAAATCTTTCTTGTTCTGTATATCCACTCCATTATAGCCCCAAGGGCCGGTTTGTCTCTTGAAGTTAAACCGGGACTTTTTTGGATATAGAATACTTCAACTGAGTAGCCCCCAAGGGCCGGTTTATCTTATCAAGATGAACTGGGACTTCATGTTCCAAACTGTATTTTGTCAATTCCTTTGTCTTTTTACTTTCTGATCAAATACACATTAGCCCCCAAGTGCCAAGATTAATACTTGTATTGATCCTTGGGACTTTGAATAGTCAGCAGGAAAGAAGCAATCCGCATTAGCCCCCAAGTGCCAAGTGTATAACTGGTTATACGCTTGGGACTTTGAGAAAATAATATCATCTTCATCATCTGATTTTTGCAGGCCAACATAAACAGCAAAGACTCCCAGATTGCCGATCTTCAAGAGAACATCAAATCCCAACAATCAGAGACTTCCAAGGCCAAAGATGAACTTAAAACTGCTTTGACAGCCATGGAACAACTAAAGGAAGGGTTCAAGAATGAACGTGCCAGCTGGGAAACTGAAAAAGCTGCGTTGTTGAAGCGGGCTGAAGACGCCGAGTTAGCTCTTTAACATGTATTTGTTTTTATTTTGTGTTTTTTATCGATCTTGGTCCAATAGTATAACCATTTAAGCCTTGAGAGTAGCTTATAGGGCTCCTTCTATTCAAATGATTTTCATAGGAATTTTAGAGGATTAGAATCCTTAGAAATTTTTCCTATGTTGGTTGTTTGATTCATAGGATTGAATCATATATGATTTTTTTTCAAAAAATTTCTTTGTACTGCTTCTTATAGGATTTCTAGCATCCACTCAAATCTTTTTAAAAGAATTCATTGTTTTTCGTGTGATGCAGTCAAACAAACCAAAATCCTATAGGATTGACATGAACATGACATTTCAATCCTATGTTTTTCATATTACCGTATTTTAGAATCCCGTGAATCAAAGAGGCTCTAAGATGAATGCACGGGCTTGGGTCAATCATTTCTAGAAGTTACTTTAGAATGACATGACTTCTTTTTCATTACAATTCCACTCAATTAAAATGTTCGGATTTTTAGAACAATGATGTAAGAAGCACCCAACTTTATTATATCATAAAGCCCATAGTAGGAACCACCATAACGATAATTGGTTTCTGAGCCCGTGCTCAGCTGCTTCCGAAATCACCATCGTCCAGGCACATGTGGATTCGATGCAGAAGCAGTATACTCGGCCGTATTTCCATCGTACATGCGATAAAAACGTAAGTGGGACATCGTCTCTTTAATGCGTGCAGGCGTTGTCCCATGGTACCCGGATCAGGTTTGGTCGCATGGCCTGGTACTATCCCCGAGCCACCCTGAGCCGGCCAGTGCACTTCACAAACGGAGCCTGATGATAAGACATAGCGATTTAATTATGGGCAAACAAGATATCTTACTGATTATGCTATAATCTTCGTAAAAAGAAATCTTATCCAATTTTTTCCAAAGAACATGAGGAGGTACTTACTAAGAAGGGGGCGCCTCAGGGTTGAGCTTCCATGTGAGCTGTGCGTGGGTTGAGTCGGGGAATCCGATGTCGGAGCTCACCACCATGCCTTGTTGAATTCCGGCCACCGAGTTCCTGCACACATATTGGACCTGCAATTTGAATCCTCTAGCTCTGGCGGACTGGCATTCCGAGATGGAAGCAGAGCCAAGGCACCGGATCTGGATGTTCAGCGGCAAACCTGCGGACCATTGTACAAATCAACGTCGGCGTGCGCAAA